TTCTTTGTTTTTATTTTTTTTATTTTTTATTTTAATTTAATTTATTTATTTATTCTTTTATTTCATTTCATTTTACTTTATTTTATTTTTTACCCCCGGTCACTTTACTTTAAAATCCAAGTAGCAAAAATTCAATTGCCGCATTCAAAATCAATCGGAAACGCGCATGTTGGTGTTTATCACTTTTCCTTTAGGAAGCAATTTGTATTAAAGTCAAAAATAAAAGTACTGCGGTAGACGCGATAAGATAAATCCAACCAACTAAATAGTTAATTATACTTAACTAATCCAGAATAATAACGAGAAATGATGATTACCTAATCTCTATGGGTCTCTGTTCAGTGCTTCTTGTGTTATTTCCCAAATATTCGCTAATTCAAATTTTCAGTGTCTCAAAAAGAATGACCTGTTTTGCCTTTCGTATAATTTAATCAAAAATTTTCTGCGCGTTCAATTTTTTCTTTGTTGTAGTCATACCAGACCTAATCCATTATTAAACAGAAAAATAATCCTTTTAAAGCAAGCAGATGTATAGCTGAGTTTTTGAATCGTATAATTTCAAAAGCGAACCGTAAAAATACTTCTAAAAGTGATAAATTGAAGTAAAAAAAAATCTGGAAAAGATGCTCAAAATTTCCGATTTCAACTCATGCACGAAATTCTAAAATCTAGCAGCGAAAACCTTTTTTTTCCTTCTGAAATCAAATATTTATTTTACATTTTTTCGAGCATTAAATTTAAGGTCTAAAAACTTATTTTTCGCAAGATCATGAAACGACTACATTTTCGATTGATAACCTATCGAGGTGTATGTGGAAAGGCTGCATATATATGTAACTAAGTACTTTTTTTAGGATGTCCGCTAGTAGCGTTTGTTTGCTCAGATACATATATATATATTTATGTAAATATATACTATATCATCAACTGACTTTCGGCTACTCTTACTAAAGAAAATATGCAATTATTACACGCTTTTCGCGTTACGGATTCAATTTTCGTCTAATTTCTCTGTCTCCAAGTATTCTTTATTTGGTATGTGTAAACGCGACCATTATTCTACTTCAACTGACAGCCATATTTATTTTTCTCAAATCTTTGACGTTTATTATTTTTACAGCACATTTGAAACGAATAACTCATCAATCGCGTTCATTGATTTACTCCTTTCTTCCCTCCATGAAATTGGAATAGTCAAGATATTGCATTCGTCGCAGGTGTCGGAATCAACTGACAAACAGAATCACGGATTTATTTTTCGAAGTTTGCCCTCAACATACATCGGCTCTGAGCCGACTTAATTCTCTTCGAAATCTTCCTTGGCGTCTCCCAAAGATCCTTTAAATTCCATTCAAATTGATTTCGAATTTTCGGCGTCTTTTCTTCCTCTTCCTTCGTAGCTTGCTCCTTCAATACAATGGTGCAGTTTTCTGCATGTTCTGAAGTTTGTCCTCAACATACATCGGCTCTCAGCCGACTTAATTCTCTTCGAGATCTTCCTCGGCGTTGCCCAAAGATCCTTTAAATTCCATTCAAATTTATTTCGAACTTTCAGCGTCTTTTTCTTCCTCTTCCTTCGTAGCTTGCTCCTTCAATATAATGGTGCAGTTTTCTGCATGTTCTGTAGCGTCTGGGTTATTTGTTTGACATTTACAAACTATTTTTGGGCAAGCATTTCGTCTTCCATGTCTCGTACACGCTTCAAAATCTTTCTTTTCGTTGTCCGCTTTGTTTTCTTGTCCTTCCGTTTCAGCTTCCATAGCACTGTAGAAGTACAGCTTTTATCATCTACGAGCTATTTCCTTCAAGGCCTGCCGAAGAGAATGTTAACCCATAGGCCGTTCGTCATACCTGTTCATTTTTCTAAATCATCTGTTTTTCTTCCACAACCTTGGACACGACCAGTATTTAGAAACTTCGAATCTCTAGGAAGGTTCCCAGAGATCGATCTACCTTCTCTGAATGGTACGATCACCACAAGGGAATAAAGTTAGGTGTTGTTGGTTTAGTCTGTTGTTTTCAAAGGTTCTATTTATAGACCAGAGGCCAGAGCTTCATTTGTCTAGCCTATCGAGGTCGTTAAGAGATTTTCAATCCTCATCAGAGATGCTCACTCACCTGTTATTTTCAAGTGGTGTTTTTTCTGTCATGCAGGAAAATTCGAATCCAATCAAGAAGAACCGAAATCCAACTGAGAAAAGAAAAAGATCCACTATTTATGCTAATTTCATAACAATAATAATTACAATAATAATAATCATAATCATAATAATAATAATAATAATAATATTTTTTTAAGCCAAAGAATGTAATCAAAATCTATATATACAATATCTAAATGTATTTGCAACAAATTAATAAAAATTTTTAAAAAAGAGCGGAAAAAGAAAAACTATAATAAGATATACTATAATAAATAAATAATGAATAATAATAATGATAATAATAATGATAATAATAATAATAGTAATAAATAATTCCGCTTTGCAGAATAAACTATAGGGCTATTCCATTGCTCACCTGTTTTTGGCGCCAGAGGAACATGTTGTCGTGACGTTATCGTTACTATGGTGATATAATGACGTCTTATCCCCCAGTGAGTCCTTTCAAAACAGAAGAAAAGACTTRGACAAATATTGGCTCCTGCTGCTAAAATCTCCATGGATGTACTAGATGATAATCAAGAGATTGCACCTTGATTAACTTTGTAACCAGGAAAAATTATAATTACTAGACATGGATAATTTTCGTGACGGATATTCACAAAGGACCGCTCAGATATGATAGTCAAACGAAATATTAAGTAAATGATTTATTTATAAATGTAAACATTGCTGATTTTAAACACGTTAGATTTGTAATGTTGCATTATTACTTCCTATACTTAACTCGGTAATACTTAATTGAGAAACTTTATTTTATTCAGGACAGTATAAATTACCAAAACTGTCAACCTAGACTTTAGATAGCATTGATAACGCCTATGTTTCAAAAAAAAAATCTTTTTGAGAAAACTTGAGGAACGAATAACCTACCAGAATACTTTTCAAGAGAATAAATTTCTAAAAATTGGAGTGAAGAGACGATTCGCAGCGACGATTTATTGCGCAACGACGTGTAGCGCGGTTACGATTTTGAATAATATTTTGTTGCGGCAACAGGTTTCTGAACGACCTTCAAAACGCACAACATTGTTGGCATCGATTTGTGTTGCCACGCGCGACATGTTACACAATGTCAATTTTTAGTGCAACAATGTTGCGCTAAGGATCGTCTCTTGTAACATCACCGGAACGACCTTCAAAACTCACAACGTTATATTGCCATCGATTTGCGTTACCGCGCGCGCTATGTTACACGACGCAACCATGAGCTCGTGGGAACAACATTGAATATGGAACAAGGGTTTTCAGTCGGTTTACATGCAATTTTTGAAGCGCTTTTACGTACTTCAAATTGCATGCCTAATTTTTGAGAACATCTTGGAGCAATATATCAACTATTTTGATTTTTACTGTAGCTTAGGTACAAACATCACCATGCCTTATATGGTGCTGCTTCTACCCAAGCTAGACCACAATGCACTTTGATACTCAAACTCCGAAATAAAGGGGCCTGTAATATAATATAACATTCTATATCTTGGCTGAATTAGACAGTTACACTATTTGCATCAATATCTTTAATTCCACATAGGTTAAGCTATTATTTCTCACAAAGGGGACTATTTCCCTCATAACAATATTTGACGCTCAGGGGTGGCAAATGTAGTGACACCGTCATGGGTGGGGTGTGTAAATATTTGACCCTCTACGGCTGAATGGCTTCACTTCATCAGCAAGGGTAGATCCTAGCATTTACTAGTATGAGATCACTTTAAATTTCTGGGCTAAAGTATACGGGGTTGACGAATTGATGAGACTCGTTGCTATTATCAGTTGCGACATCCTGTGATGACTTCCCGTTGACGGGAGTGTAGCCCGGCTTACTTCCGGAATTCACATAACCGGAAGTGGAAAGTGAAATACCGGAAATAGAATGGGGCACACCAGAATTAGAATGAGGAAGACGGGAAACGGAAGCCAGATACACCGGGTTCTCGTAACCGGATGGAGGATTGTAAATATTACTGTCGTCGTCGTCGTCATCAAAATCATCGACATCGTTAGTTGGGAGATTCGTCATTTGAATGCGCTGTAACTCCTTGTTGTAGACAACTCGAGGTCTCGCAGCTAACTTCTCTTGGATCTTTTGCCAGATGCCCAAGATAAAGATAATCAGAATCATCATGACCATCGTCACGATCAGGAATAAAATCCAATGAACATTGAAACCTGGAAATCAAATAAGAGCAAATATCCTTACACTTATTTTCATAATTGTCTTGATCTCGTACTTTTGAAAATGAGTGTAAAATCAATAAGTTCAAAGTTGCGCAAGTCGGACTCRCTTACCCAATAGGAAACTTTACGCCCGATGACGAGAATAAATACGCAGATGAGTTTTAAAATCGTTCCTGTGCACGTGGTTGATACTAAATCGTAGTCGATTTTTTACAATATTTCAATCTACGTACACGACCAGGATTACGAAATGATGAGCAGGAAACGTGGAGAAGCACTTTGAGAAAACTTATGAGCTACGCGCGTCTTTCAAGTAGCAGTAGGTTTGCCTTTAGCATGAGATTGTTTAGCTTTTTGATGCATTACCCCAGTCTCTAGGCATATACACCATTCAGGTACAGTTACACCAGAAAATTGAAATTAAGCTACGCGTGTCTTTCAAGTATGAGTAGACGTGGCGTTAGCATGAGGGCTTTTTCATGCATTACCCCTGTCGTTCGGCATATGCACCATACAAGTACAGTTAAACCAGAAAATTGAACTTAAGCTACGCGCGTCTTTCAAGTAAGAGTAGACTTACCGCTAGAATGAGGTTGTTTAGCTTTTTCCTGCATTTCCATCGCTGCACACTCCCCCCGCATATACTCCATACATGTACAGTTACCCATTGCGCGCACCAGAAAGTTGAAATTAAGCTACGCGCGTCTTTCAAGTAAGAGTACACTTACCGTTAGCATGAGGATTTTCAGCTTTTTCCTGCATTTCCATCGCTGCACATTCCCCCCGCATATACTCCATACATGTACAGTTACCCATTGCGCGCACCAGAAAGTTGAACGTAGTGCGATTGTGCATTATCTCGTGCAGAACGCATGCATCCATAATCTTACAAAGCTCAGCAATACATAGGATTAACTCTTTTGATGCGTTTAACCTTTGAGATTCGTTGGTATGGATACCCGCTGGCAACTTTTGAGACGGAGGTATTCTCGTCTTCGTCTTGAGAGATTTTCGATTTGTTTGGTTCCAAAATATCCTCCTCGTTGGTTTACGATGAACTTGACCGGAAGTGGAGAATGACGTGTTCGATTCGGTCCTCTTGCCATCTGGCTTTGCTTTACCATCCGAAGAATTTTCTACCAAAGATATATATATAACTATTTAAACAATACTTTCGAAGATCAAGTCCGCGTTAACCAAAGTTTCAACTCCGTATTACTATATATATTACAGAGTTGAAAATTCCGGTAAAAGCACGTTTTAAATATTTTATATTGCATAAATTTGAATAGAAAAATTTGCCAAAGTCGACATGCTTCGAGAGGATAGTGCAAGAATGTTCTTCAGTATTACATTCGCGCGCGCAAAGTTGTCTTCGTGTCTAACGACTGCATCAAGACATCAAAACGCAATGAATTGAGCTTGTAGCTCAGAATGGAACACTGCTTAGAGTAACCTGGATGCGAGGCTTATACATGAAAATACCAAAGAAGGCATACTTATTCTCGATGGAATTTGCGGCATTTCTTTTGTATTTCCATGTTAGCCTCATATTTAAGATAAGGTCCATTATTTATGAATTGAATTAAACAACATCTTAAAGGGTTTTGATAAACCCATGAAATAGTACTTAAGTCACTCTCTAGTAGAGAACAAACCTTGTGAACAAACAGTTGAATTGATGCCGTCTGCGCATGCGCAGGTATGACTGTTTGAAGACAGAAGGCAGAGGTACCGACAGTGGGAACCACGACAAAGGCTAGGAACTATTTGAAAAATCAGAACAAGAATCGTTAGATCATAGCCACAGCCATTTACCTCCCATGGGGGATAAAGAGAGGAAAAAATGGTTAAAAAATGGTTTGAAGACAGAAGGCAGAGGTACCGACAATTAAAACCACGACAAGGACTAGGAACTATTTGAAAAATCAGAATAAGAATCGTTAGATCATAGCCACAGCTATTTTCCTCCCATGGGGGATGGAGAGAGGAAAGAATGGTTAAAAAATGGTTTGAAGACAGAAGGCAGAGGTACCAACAGTGGGAACCACGACGAGGGTTAGGAACTATTAAAAATATCAGAATAAGAATCGTTAAATCATAGCCACAGCTATTTACCTATCATGGGGGATGGAGAGAGGAAAAAATGGTTAAAATTKAAAAAAATAAGGCCACCACAAGACCAACTTTGGGGACCACAAATTTTACGTTCAAAATCTTACCCTTTGGTCTCATCAAAGAATGAAAGACACGCACATTGCTGATTCTATCTCTAGTGTGCAATAAAACAACTCTCCGTTCTCCGTTCCGCTTGTCAGCTCTTTCTAGAGCAGAAGATAAAACGTCTGTCCAGAACAGGTGTTCACCAAATACGGCAATCGAAAATGGGTGAGAACGCTGACCAAGGTTGAATGAGCGACGACCTGAGCCGGTGAGCGTAACACTCTGAAAGAGATTAAACAGATTATCTGAGTGAAAATGGAATGAATTCTATTGTTTTTAGTAAGAAAATATGGGATGCTGAGTGAGCAAATATTGAAAATTTTATAGACAGCACTGCAAATTTCATAGCAATGCATGATAATACTTCTGTTCTGGTATCGTGGCCCGTCAAGTTCCTCAAATTTGAATGCGCACGCAACCTTGAGAAAACGGTCTAGTTAAAATAAATTTAACCACTCCTAGTGTCCTTGTTTGGAAAACTGTTTTTGTTAAAGCAGGTGCACAATAGGTGAAATTGCTAAGGCTCACCTCAATTTTCTGTCTTTTCCCATCCGTCCAGTATAACCGCTTATTTGGTATATCGAGAGCTAGACCGTTCGGCCATGATATCTCAGATGACACAAGTATTTGTCTGTTTTTACCATCCATGTGGGATCTCTCGATCTTGGCTGTCGTGCCCCAGTCGGTCCAATACATGACGCTAAGAAAGGGAAGAAATTAAGGAATGAGGCAAGCCAGGAAGAAAGTAATGGAAGCAGTAAGCAAGCAGGCAATAAAGGAAGCAAGCAAACAAAGAAGAAAGGAAGAAAGCAAGGAAGCAAGGCAGCAAGGAAGCAAGGGAGAAAGCAAGCAAGCAAGCAAGCAAGGCAGCAAGCCAGCAAGGAAGCAAGGCAGCAAACAAGGAAGCAAGCAAGCAAGCAAGCAAGCAAGCAAGCAAGCAAGCAAGCAAGCAAGCAAGCAAGCAAGVAAGCAAACAAGGAAGCAAACAAGGAAGCAAGGAAGCAAAAAAGCAGGAAGCAAAGAAGCAAGGAAGCAAAGAAGCGAAAAGACGAAAATAGTAAAGACCCAATTAGCAAGGAAGAAAATACAGCCGCTAATGCAACTTGATCTGCTCTCGGAAATAAACCAAATTCTTTAACATTACCCATTAACCGGGTCCAGAGCAATATCTCTTGGTTTATCAAGGCCCGTCCTTATCAGTGTCGCCCCGTGCTCTCCAGATAACCTTGCTACTTCTATCGTATCTTTATCATCATCCGTCCAATAGAGATGTCGACCGATCCAATCAACTGCAATACCATCTACTCTGCCAGTGTCTAGAAATGATATTTTACCAATGTTAACATTGTTAAGTTGGCGGAAATAAGAGAATAAACTACTAAAGGTCTAAGTCAGATAATTGCGAGTTGTTTTATATTAGAGACTTATAGCATCAAGTTAACCGCTATGGATCAGACCCAGAAACACGCCCGTAAACACAGAGAAACAATCAGCATCAATGAAATTCAATTTGGCGGCTTTTCCAACAAAAACTTCGTTATGACGCCTTGCTAAATGTCGAAAGTTTGACGGGGAACTCCTGACGTAGAACTGCAGTTTGGGGTTTGCGGTAGCTAGCAAGAACGTCGTGCTAAGGGTGTTTATTATTACCTTGTATAAAGACTTCTAAATCATTCCATGATCCGTGTATAGATGCCATATAAATGACTTTTCTTATATTGTCTGCCCAGTAAAGCTTCATATCTTGGAGATCATAATCCATGCCTCCTCCGTCACCAGGGACAGGAAGAAGCACGGATGGCTCACGATCATTTGAGTTCAGGAGGAAAAGCCGCTGACCAACCCTGAACATCAAGGTGTATTCTGGGAATACAAGAGAGCTTTTTAAATAAAAGAGCAATGGGCTTCCTGTTGCAGGCGAACAACGAGGGAGGCTAAGAAGATTGAGGATGAGGAGAAAAGAAAAAGAAGAGATAGACCAAATTCAAAACTCGCACCGATGTGAGGCTTAAGTTGTGAACAAATGAATCTGGCATGATTCGTGACTTTTGAATCACGCAAGATTACTTTGAGTTACGCCAGATCCCTTTGTTCACAACTTAAGCCTCACATCGGTGCGAGTTTTGAATTTGGTCTATACCGTCTCTCATATCGCTTTCTCATTTTTTCAGTTTCAGTCACTCTCTACTCATTCCCCCTCTTATTTTGCTTGCAACAGGAGGCCCAAAGATAAAATATACAAAGCGATATCAATAAAGACTGAGGTTAAACGGGACCTTTAGAATGGGACGTTCAATACAACATCGACAAGTAAACAAGTGACCACAAACCAACCTTGAACATCACAACCACGTCCGTCTAAAGTCACGTGATATCCCTCTGCGCATGCACACTCGTAGCTACCAACTGTGTTTCTACAAATCTGGCTGCAGGAATCGATACCACTTGTACACTCGTCGAGGTCTGTACATCTTTTCCCGTCGGGACCCTTGACAAATCCTGGTTGGCACCCACATAGGGGTCCTCTGGGGGAATCATGACACCACTGGGCGCATCCGCCATTGGCTTTCGAACATTCCTGGAGCTCTGAAGAAAAACGGATGTAATCTTAAATTGGTGTTTAATTTATTTTAATACCAATTATTTTTTAGATTCACTGGTTTTCCTAACACGATAAATTCCGTGGGTTAGCCGTGCCCTGCATCCAATGATCATGGTGTATATACTCTGATATACCACGGTCAATCAACCAATAGACCTGAATAAATTTGCTTGAGTGACGGCTCCAAGTCGATGATGCACTTGATAATGTTTATAGTGATATTCACCGTTTACAAACATTGACGTCCGGAATATTTTCTCATTCAAATTTGACGCCAATCATTAAAACAAAATATCTCAGTAGCCAATACTATGTACTTATTGACTGAGTGGGAGGGCCGTACGGGAAAATATTTGGCTCAAGGTGATGCCTTGACCGAGAGCCAAATATTTTCCCGTACGGCCCGACCTAACTCAGTCAATAAGCATTTTATCATATGACCCTCACGAAAAAGTCAATAAAAAATAAAAGAAAGAAAGAAATAGTAAATAAAAGCTAAAAAAGAGAAAGCGCGCGGATTCGAGCAGGGCCGTACGGATGCGTACGGCCCTGCTCGCTCAAAGCCGTCCGGCCCCCATCACGTGACTTTTTCCAATGGTTTTATTAGAGCGCGCGAGCAGGGCCGTACGGGTCATGTGATAAATCTCTGGTTGTCATAATGATATTAAAGGTGACTTCAGCGTAAACTTCGCTATAGAACTGCTTTTCGTTTTGTACCCGGAAGTCGTTTTTCCATACCAATGACATCACACTTTAAAGCTCTATAGGAAGCGAAATCTTAACCAGTAACATATATCTAACCGCACTATGAGATTGTTTGTTTTCATACCACAACGTCCTCCTTCATCGCTCAAGTCTTCGCAGTCATTTTCGTGATTGCAGAGTTTTTCTATCAAAAGACAAGTACCATTGTCGCACGAGAAATCTTCTGGGCCACAGGTCACGTGACTTCCGGTCCATTTTGCTGCAACGTACAAAAAAAAAAGAGTATAGGCTGAGAGTCAGTCCAGGCAGTCCTCAAAAATCACAATAAACCACTCCGATTCCCAATAATTTCAATCCCCTGAGAATTGGAAATGTATTGTTATGTCCTCCGAATTGAGCTGCTGCATTCCGACGTGCTGCAAGGGGTCTATAAGGGGTCTGCAAGGGGTCACTCAAGCGATTCCAAACTTTCTACCCTACCCCCGCGGGGAAAATTTATGATGATATGTAGTATTACTTACTGCAATTGTGTTCGTCGGAGCCATCATAGCAGTCAACTTGTCCGTCACAGACCCGATGTTGAGAGATACATAGTTTATTATTGCATTCAAACGTATCCCTTCCACTGCACGAGGTACAGTTAGCCAACTCATCCAGGCCTCCAGAACAGTCAGCTGTGCCGTCACACACCCAGGTCAGCGGTATACACCTACCATCTGAGCAGGTGAATTGACTTGGACCACACAGGGCTGGACTTGTAGTTGAGCAGTAAGCTAGAGGAAACATTATAATTAGACTTGTTATTTAATGAGATTAATGGTAGGGATTTGGGAGAAGAGCTGTGACTTAAAAATCTAGGTTACGTTCGTGACACGTCACGCATCATGCATATCATTCGCAGTTACGGGGTGAAAGAGGTGTTGTTCACACAGATAGGAATCTATAACGTCTGAAATTTTTATTATAATTTTGTAAGTTTACCAGTTACGGGGTCAAAGATCCTATTCGGGTCAAACTTTATGCTGCAAATTTAACGTTATATATGAGGTCATATGTCAAGGATCATGTCGTGTGTCAAACGTCATATGTCACACGTCATGAGTCACGGGTCATACGTCAAATGTTACACATCACACTTTATATATGTCACGTGTCATAAGTCAGGGTCACACGTCATATGTTAGATATCACACATCATAGGTGTTGGGAGATAGGGCATTTGAAGATCCTAGAATAGCTTGATTAAATGACTGGTGTCTCCAAGAAACTGGAGGCTTATGATGAGATATAATTAATAAGTATTGCTTATAGTTGAGAAAGCGATATTTTAAACACCTCCATACATTATTAGTGTTAAGATTACGCGATGATTTGGCCTATTGCCAACCTAGGTGAGTCTCTTCTCTCAGCCCTAGCGAATTAGCCAATCAGCGAACATTTTGTTCGTACCTCAATATTTCCTCATTCCAGGGTTTTGGCTTGATAAAAAACAGGTTTTACTCGAAAATAAAGAAAACAATACTCATCGTTGAAAAGATTTACCAAATATCTTTTAGAAATAGTATATATTCAGTCGTTGTTGATGGAAAATCTTTCGTTTTGACAAGAGGTAATCAGAGAAAATTCTTGGACATTTTCGCTGTGACTAACGATGCATTGCGCGTCTAGATTTTAATTTTGGCTCCGACACTGACATCTTTTACAATAGTCGTACGGACACACAAAACGAAGAAAATAATATGAAACTGAAAAGAATTATTTATTATCATATATTCAAGCTTTTTTTTTTTTTTTTTTAAATCAAAATGGAACTTTCTCAAAATAATTATCTTGAATGCAAGGCTAATATGGAAATACAAAAGAAATGCCACAAATTCCAATGAGAAAAATAGTGTTCATTCAAGATGATTTTGAGAAGGGTTCACAGAAAAAACCCTTTAAAAATACAACACTTCATTACACATCAACCAAATCCTTTCCTGGTAACAGAAAGATTAGCCAGTAAACCCAGTAGAAAATAAAAAACTATCCCTCCAATCGCTAGATTTTTCGCGTGTTCAGTTTAAGGCGGTTTAAGAGCAATGTACCGTAACGCTAAATAACAACAGAATAACAGCGAACGCAAAGTGAATCGTCGATCTAAACTACCCAAACTGTGTTCCTAGTGCTATGTGTTACAGGAGTCGAGTCGGCCAAAATATAAAACTGAATTTTTCAAAGAACTGTTCTGTTGATAGCAATCGCGATCAATGTACAATTAAAATGTCATAAGGGTGATTTTAAACAAATATGAATACCTTACCTGTTACGATCACAAGGTGAAGAAGTTCAAATCGTAGAAGCGAACTCCGAATTCGAAAGACTTTCTTCCCTGCCATAATGAGTTAGACTGACGCTTAAAGCTGCTTTCGGCAGCGCTGAATTGTCGTTTATGCTAATTAGTCATGTAGTTCCTAATTAGTTTTTTCTATGGGTTCTTTATCGGCTTGTCCTTCAGGGAATAGCCGCGCCCGCTTACCGAGAAAACGCCGATGTTAAGTCGCATTTAAGAAATTTTAATCTGTAAGAAAAGTTTGATGAATGACCTTTTTGTTTAACTTCGGGTTTCTCCTTCCTTTCCTTCCTTCCTTCCTTCCTTCCTTTCGCTAGATCCAATCGCCAATTTCTTTCTAATACATAATTTATCTCTTTATGGGATGGGGAGGTATGAATTCAAAAAACTTTTTGAAAACAAACGAACATATATACTAAAAATTACAGAAATACAAAACAAATACGAAACAAATAAAATACAAAAAAAGAAAAGAAAAGAAAAATGTTATGTTTTGATACGGTAAGATTTGAATCGAAGTCTAACAAAATGGTGATAAAAGAAAGATAGAAAAATAAAAAAAACCGAATCAACTTTGCCATACCCCCGAGACATCCGCAGAGCTGAGGCGTCGTATGGACTTCGGACCTGACGGCGATTAAATCCTTCTGCCCTTGGGTGTACGAATTACGCAAGAAAATGTTCTAGCCGAAGCATCAGGBGAGAGACCAGCCGGCCCCCAGACCATATCGGCTAATCCCTTGCATCTCTGCCACGCACGGAATCGGTTGAAAGTAGAATATCAAAAAGTCTAGTCTATTCGGTGCATTGTTTTCACGGCTATTGTTATGCTGATTTACCTGGAACCGTGGTCCAGTGGATAAAACTTGGGCTTCAAAGACATTGGGTCAAGTCCGGTTGAGGGAAGTTAGTATCTGGATGGGCGACCGGAAGTTTATACCTGCTCAAGCATTTGCTTGTTTTCCCCCTTCTTTTTCGATTTGAAAATAATGATTATATTATTATAATATTACCATTGATTGTCAAAGTGTAACCGATTCACCCAAATTCTTCACGCTTTTTTTATTACTTTATCTTATTTTCTTAAAATAAAAAAAAATCGAGAAAAAGCTTTCAACGAAACGTGAAAATGTTTCTTTGGGCTAAGAGTTTATAGACAAAAAGAATAACTAGAAGTTTCTAAATTTAGGACATAATCGTTCCTTCTTGCTGGTAGTAAGAAATTGTAAATCACTTTTGACTTTAGCGAGTTTAGTGCGTTCTCTTTCGAGATTTCGTACGGTTTTCACCGCTGTTTGCCCATGCTTCTTATGGATAAATGTGAAAATGTTTCTTTGGGCTAACGAAATGTTTATAAATGGAAGTAGCTTGTTTACCTCTTTACCTGCCCTTACTGGTTATCAAAAACAAGAACAGCAGGTCAATCGATTTTGAACAAAATTCTTAACCCTTAGTTCTCGATGAACGAAAAAAACACGCGCACGAAATGAAAATGAGGCCAAGAAATATATTAAGCAACAGTGTCTACGATTGCGCAAGCTCTGATGCAAGACACGAGGCATTTCTTTCTATCTTTGTTGCGATTGACAAATACTAATTGAACCATTTTTTGCGTTTAAATCAAATTTCATATTAGCTTAAATTTTTCTTCTCGGCCTTTTTCTTTTCTTCCGGTTGTTCAAAAACCCCTCCCCTCCCCCTCCCCCTCCCCCACTCCCATCCCAAACCCCAAAAGGAAAATTGGGATCAAAACTCATACGAAGGTCTAGTTTTTGGCGCTTTTTGCCATTATTGCTCGTCATTGGAAAAAATTTCCTCTTAATTATATTGCTGACACGTTAAGATTTATCTAGAAACTTCGAGACAAGGGTCACTGACTGACTACACTATAAATAGTATCTTATCAGATTATATTTATCATTTTAAGAAGTTCCAAGTGCTAATCTTATTCGCTAAACGAAAAAACGTGCCCTTCCTAATTTGTAGAGAATGTATTTTGGAAAAATATCATAATTAGATCTTTAAGAATTGTCATGATTTTGGGACGTTAAGCTTCAAATATTTGATATACTTTGAAAATAAGTATAAAAAAGTCGTCTAGCTATAAAACTATGATTAAAATAGATTTCAAAGAATCATAATGGGTAGAAAAATACCAATAATATTCGATGATTTAAGAGCACCTAGTAGGTAATTGTTTAACAGTAAAAAAATATATTTAAAAATTATCTAATGTGAAAAAAGAGTTCGAGAAAATTGAAGCCGAAATTAAGCTGCCTCGAGCGTGAACAACGTAGCATGACAAGACAGAGTATTGTATATGTGATCAGCTAGAAATATCTTAAATGTTCAATATAACCGCTTTAGAAACATGTAGAAATATCTACAACAATATAACTTTCTCTCATTTGTTTAATACCTCCCCTCGACCGGAAGCCTTAAATACATAATGGCCAAGAGTTCAGTATTGTTAATCGATATAACTCTTAAATGAATTAGATTCCAAGTACTTGAAGTCTTCTCAACCATAGACGAGGGGGCTTCTTAGGGCTTCTTGCCATATATAGTAACTTTGCTTGTTACGAGTTGTCGCTGGGGGTATAAATATAGAGTAGCAACTGACCAGCTGATAGAACTAGGAGTCTTGTGCATGTGAGTTCATCTGCGCAAGAAAATTCATACACTGAAGTCTTTAGCATCAAAGTTAAACGTCTGATTATAGGTAAGCGAAGTTCATGCATAAGAACACAGTTAATTCACTTTAAAAAACTTTGGCTTTTTGAATTTATAATTCAGTTGAATTTTTAATGCTCATGTCATTGAAACTAGATCGAGTGGAAATCGTTTCATTTTTGTGTTGCCTTCAGTTTCAGAAAGTTAAAAGCGTTGCAAAAATGCCTCGAAAGCAGACAAAACAGCACTCAAGAAAACGCCTTTGGTTCAACGTTGTGGAGTTTGATAAAGAAACAGGTCGGCCACTTTGGCGAAATAAGAAGCCTAAACTCGAGAATGCTCTTCCACCTTGCATTACAGACCCCAAATTCACAGCACTGGTTGAGAAATTGAGAAAAGAAACTGCAGAAAGCGTGAGAAACAACGAGAGCACGAGTTGGTCTCCATATTCACCTACATGGACGCTTCATAAGTATAGTTTGAATCCGAGAGGAAGTAGCGAAGTTGAGAAAACATCTACTAGTTCGTTACAAAGTAACAGCTTCGAGAAAGTAGGTTACGAAGAAGAAGGCTCTCCAAAATTGGTCATGCAGTTTCAACACTTCTCTCCATTGGCTTGGTCTGAATCTATAGATAAGAGTGAACAACAGAAACGACATATCCAAGACCTTCTAAAGATGAAGTCCGGCCAAGCTCCTTTTCAACCTTCCCATGACGATCAGAACCACATGACTAGAGGTAATGCCATCAAGAGGGATGTCACAGGTTTATGTGGAATTACGAGTAACTGTGCGATGCCAAGCGAATGGAGGATGGATAACACTGTAAGGTTACATCACATAGACCTCGAAAGCTCGCCAAATTATGGATTGACTGTCAACCAACAAGTTCCTTTAACAATTTACTAAAAAAAACGCTTTGAATCCTTACTTTAAAATGTTAATGAAGCATGTATATATTTCGTTACATGTACACTGTACATATGTAGGTATAGAAAATGCTATCTTACATTGTATATTTTGTAAGAAACTACAATTTTAAGGAAAATTTACATCCCACTTTTTAGACGAAAAAAAGCTAAAAATATTTCAATGTTTCAAAAAACATTTCTTTCGAGAAATCAGTGCCATTGGTTGCTTTTAAAATGCAATGAAAATGCAAATGAGATGTCAATATATTGAAAGACAATAAATTTTGCTATTTAGAGCTATTTTTATATTTTATACTAAAAATGGTACTAGATTAGAAATTATTTGTTAATATAAATAGATACCTGCACAAAATAAGTTAATTTTGTACATAAAATTTGTAAATAATTATTTTTCCAAGACAATTATTTTTTTCATTCTAGATAATCGTACAAAAGGTAAAAATGAAAAATGAAAAACTTATAAAGGAAATAAAATGTTTTGAAAGGAAAAGAGTAATTCTAGTTTTGGTGATTCAAAATCTTCAAGGCCATCGATATCAATATAACTTTTCTCCTATTCTTTCGGTAGCTTGATTTCGAGAGAACAAGAATACAAGGTTAGATAAAGAGTGAATGAGACAGATTTTTTCAACGCAAATTTACATAGTATCTAAAATAATTGAAATTAAGGAAAAGAAAAAAAATCGACTTACTTACAAATTCACACCTCATTGGACGTTCTAGTTATTCCAATATATTAGAATATATAACCCAATGTCTTAATACAATAGGGATGTTTAGCCATTGCACAGTTAGTGTCAGTCTATTTATGATTTATAGCGCTAATCGGGGTCACAATATTCTAATTTAGTGATCGAACAATGACAGCAATTCAACCATAAAACAAATGAAACGATTTAGCAAATTGAATTCTTTTCTTTTCTTTTCTTTTCTTTCTTTTTTTTGTACAATGAAAAGAAAAAAAATCAAAACTTTAGAGGAGGTTTTCATTTCAATCGTAAAAAGCCCTAAAAAACGTTTAAGAAGCAGGTCGTTTTTAAGTGGACAATTTTTTAACTGTTCAATTTTGAGTGATCGTTTCTTTCTCGTTTCTCCCCTATGTTTGGGCCTAAGCTTGGAGGGTTTTTCTCTGGCTTTACCTCCCTCCGAGAAAAATCAACTGAAAATTCCAATTAGATCTGCATGTATGACGAGTGGTTTAATCATGAACCTCCAGATGGGGAAATTGCGAGCAATCACTCGATGCATGAATTAGGTTTTAAAAAAAAAGACTAGAAAGATCGGCGCAATGCTCCGTTTCACGTCGTTCTCAAGCAAGTTGGAAAATGCTAAAATTGTCGTTTAAATTCTATATTTAGTTCAGCTATTATCTATTATATTGTTAGCTCGGATTGCATTGTAGTTAATGCTTATCTAAGCATTAGGATTCCTTGTTACAAGTGTAAAGGAAGGCTTATCAGCCCCGCCCACGAACACTTTATTTTTGTATCTATTATTAGTTACGTCATATCCTTAACGTTTCACTTAGTTACAACACGTCTCAATTCCACTTAGCGTTAGTATTAGTGTATGAAGTCGACGAGAACACATCTATTCGTGATCAAAGAGTTTAGAGTAGTTTTTTAGTTATCTTTGTTGGAGCAATAACCTATATCTTAACCTCGGCAAGCGGGACTGTTATTTTACGACAAGTTCTTGGATTGTAATAAACTTCAA